ACAAAACGCTCTCCTTGTCTTCGGTAGACCTTGTTTCTCCCATCATTACCATAGACCATAATCTTAGTTTCATCAGTGAAGAGTACCTGGCTCCACTGACGTGGAGTCCAATGCAAATGATCTCGTGCAAATTGGAGTCGCGCCATTCGATGAGCTCGTGTCAATTTGGGCCCGTCCGCTGGCTTATGTGGAGTTAGACCACGTTCCTTAAGTCTCCTTCTCGCAGTTCTAGCGCTAACACTCCATGAAGTCTCGAAGCTGTTCTTGGATCTGTACTGAAGTCAGTTGACGATTTCGTGAGCTCGTCGTGAAGATAAATCGATCTTGCCTTTCCGTTGTCACTCGAAATCGTGGTCTTCCTTGACGGCGAACGTAGCCGCCAGTCTCTAAGTACCGATGGTTAGAACCTTTCAACAGCGAAACGACTGAAATGCAGTTGTGTACTTACATTATGCTGACTAAGTTCAGACTGCAAAAGTGCCACAGCTTGTGCGGCTACTTCAGGCGCAGTGTTCATAATTCCTTCGAGAAATTTGGTTAAATTTAGAGGAAAAACAATGTAATACTTCTTTATTGTTAAATAACACAATTAAATAAAAAAATATTGAAATTATTTCGTTTTGCTTGCACCTTACGCTCCCTTATTACTTTAAAAACAATGACGAACCACAACTTTTCTCCGTTTTTCAACTTCGTAAATTCAAATTTGGAACAACGACACACCATAATAACCTGCCAGCGTTAAAACTGCATAAAAACTTTTTCTTTAATAAAACAATATTTTTATATTCTAGGTCTTTCAAAATAAAAATTCAAGGTGGCTCGAAAGTTGTGTGCGGGAGTGTATCTAATATATTTGTTATGTACTCGTACATGTGTGTGTGGCTGCGCCCATCGTCCTCCTTTATAACAATAAAGCAGTGTTTTCTTCTTTTTATAATATCTTTTATTTTATAATGTCGTGGGGCTTGTAGGGCGTGTAGCTTACAATCAGCTACACGCCTGTCCATAACAGTTGTAGTGCCACTCAGATCTTTTAATCGCAAATGTTAGTAAATCTGCATTCCAGTAACAACATTATTGTAGGTACATAGCATTCCGAAAACATTAGACATATTTACAAAAATACGCTTAAATGTACTTTTTTTATAGAAACGACCAGTACTCAACAGTGGAACGTAGATATGGTGAGTTTGATAATGGGATTGAGTTCATAAGGTCAATAAATTCACTGGATTGAGAAGTTGGTAGCAACTTTATTTTTATTTACTATTGCTATTTTTTTACGTAAGCGACACGCCTGTTCATAACTGCAGTGCCTCTCAGAGCTTTAAATCGCAAAGATCTGAGGGGCACTGCTACTGAGACATAAGTAGACAAATGCCATGCCTAATTTTGATTGTTAAAATAGAGAGAGGAATTGTTGTATATGCGTATATGTACATTGTGTGTATCGCTTTACCTACAATCCTCACTTTTACTTTCACACATTTTTTTCTATGTTTTTCTATAACTCACATCATTCGCCAACCTTTGTTTTGGGTTTAAATAGCTAATGATGTTTTGTTATTTGCAAAAAAGTGAACAGTTGTTTAAATATTAATACGTAATATCGCGCACTGTTAATACAAAAGTGTATTAACTCTAAAAGTGCTCTTTCTCAGAATCGATGAAAAACGAACTACTCACTTCCCATAGAAGTACATTAAAATTATGTAAAGGTTTTAGTTCATTTATTACAGAAAAAGAAAAAATTCCTACTTGCCAAATTTATTCAAAAATGAAATGGAAAATTAATTTCATATTTTTGAACTAGGATGACTAGCTCGCATAAAGTGTGTGTGGGTGTATGTGTGTGTGTTTTAAGATGTCTTTTTCTTAATATTCTAACGACGGTTTTATTGACGTCTAGGGAATCATATTTTACGTTCAGTAATGATATAATACTGAGTTTCACATATTTTGAGTTACAACACTATTGTAACAGCAGTGCGATATACATATCAAAGAATTCACGGTAATTAATTAAAGATTATTAAATCTTAATTTATTACACTATTTATCACACAAATGACAAAGTTAGACATTAAATAGTAAATTTTATGACATGTATGTAGTGTTCAAATTTGCAATCGTTTCTATATTGTATTGTCTCTAACATTTACACAAATGTGTTTTAATTTATATGGAAAATAAATGTAATTGGAACTTTTGTATTTTATTGTACAGTCAGCTACAGAAGTCATTAACCACACATACATATCGATAGTTTTGAAAGTCTTATGTGCATATTACATAACTAGGTACATATATTCTTATTACAAAATGACTGAATTATGGAAGAAAACGTTCCTGTTTATTCATTTACTCACAGCTGTGGTGTTTATGGCACAATTAGACGTTTATCGCATTTTTAACTGATTTTTAACAACGATAACGGGCAACTAAGCGTTTTTATATTACATTGGGCACGCGAAGCAGGTACACTTGCGCGGCGTCTATTTAAATATATGTATATATGTGAACCGAACGAAGGCATAATTGCTAAGATAAAATTGGTAAAGCCTTAGCCCTAATAAAAAATACACCGTTATACTGGCATTGCTTGTCTCGGTAAAAATTAATTAAAATTATGTGTCCTCCTACACTTGCGCAAATATTTGCGCAAATTAATGAATGAGGATGGTGCGTACACACTTTTTGACTGCATTAATGTCGTAACGCTTATGTTTGGAATATTATTCAAAAACTTTTATAATAAAGCCATATTATAACAATTTTTATCATAATGTCAAATGGGCTTTTGTCACATGAAAGCATCGAGTTTAAAACCAGAAATAGAGACGAAATGTCATTTAGTTTGTTCGAAAACTATTGTGCCAATTCATTCCGGTCACAACTGCGCTCCGATTGGCCAGCCGGAATTGGAAACAATTGGCGGGTATCGTCAACCGTTTCACTTCAAAAAGACCAGTTTAACTAGAGCTTTGCTATAAAAAATTACTGATGAAATGTGATTCCGTTTGTTTTGTAATTAGATATTTTGCTGTTTTTCCCACGCCACCAAATGGAACAGAGAGATATTATATAGAGATATTATCTTTACTACAATACACACAGACTATTTTTGGAATATACGGAGACATACTCACAGGTCAGTTGTTGCCGCTGTACTATTTCAGCTTTCTAATTTGTGATTTCAGTGCAAACGAAAGTTGATATTTAAAAGTGATATGAGGCATTTGCCAGATGAGTTGCCAGATATGTATTGCCCTTATTTCTTCTATATTTCTGGCTATATATTCGATGCATGAAAGTCATAAAAATTACACAACCTACATGAAACAAATTACTTATTTATGTGAAATTGTATAACTTTCCTGTTTAAGCATAAAAAATTATTAACTAATTACATTCGTAGAATCTTTAAGAGTGGGTCTACTGAAAAGTTGTAATTTTTTATATGTGGCCTTATTATAGGCTGTGGATGATGACGATGATAGCCTTATTACTACATCAAGGTTTGCTATATTGCGTATTTGGCTTATTATCAGGTTAGTTTTCTATACCTAATTTCGGTGGCAATTTTTATTACTTAAGTATTCGAGTAATATTAATCTTGAAATATTAAATAATGTTTCTGGTTATTAAATAATACTTCATGATAATATTTTAGGATATTTGAATAATAAAAATTTCCATTGAAATTAGGTGCGATGCGTACATGCGATATATGATCTTAAACTTGAGTATGATCCGCTTCGGTAAAGTTACTTGGTTTCATGTACTAAATTTATCCAATTAAACAATATGTGTAGAAGTGAATTTGACCTGCGATGCATGGATGGGTGTAGGCCGAAGCGCGTAGACGCCTCAGGTCTCGGACTCTTTTTGTGCTTCTGTTAACTATTGATTTGATTATAAAATATGATACTGTTTGCCATCTAACTATTTGCTTTTGTTTATACTGGTGTAACGTTGTTGTTATACTATTGTAAACAAAATCTCGTCTATTGTCATAACAAAGTAACATGTCGTTATATTATGTTAAAAATGCTTTTATCACATGAAAGTCATAAAAATAACACGAACTATATAAAACATTTAACATTTAGTAGCTCTACTACTTGTGAAAGCCGCCAAGCATTCACATTACTGTGTTCCGGTTTCGAAGGGTAAGGCTACTGGTGAAATTACAGACACATAAGACTTGTCAACTTATGTCTCAGGGTGACAGACGCAGTGGCAGTGTCCCGCACAACTTTGCAATTTAAAGCTCTAAGTGACACTGCACTGCTATGAACAGTCATGTTGCTTACCACCAAGCGCACTATTTGTTCGTCCCGTCACTTTATAACTCTTCTATTTAAACATAAAAAAGTTACCAACAAATTTCTGTTCCAGACCTTATAACATTAAGTGTGCGATATTACGTATTTGGGTTATTTTCAGGTTAATTTTCTATACCTAATTTCGGTGTCATTTTTTTTTCTGTTAAGTATTCTTGATACCACTAAAAAGTTGTTGAAAAAACCAAATACAAAGATACGACGCAAGCACATAGAAAAATTCTTGAGGTCCGCTGGTTAGTTCCGTGGCTTAGTTGGTATAGCGTCTGGCACGGTAAGCTAGAAGACGTCGGTTCGAATCCGGCCGGATCGAAGGAATTTTTTGTGAGTGTTCGATCTTTGTATTAATAATCATAACAAAGTAGTGGAATAATTTCACAAAAAATTATTGAATATCAATTCAATAAAAAATTCATGTAATCTTGATATTTCAAGAATAGTTAATTAAGTAATAATTCAGATTATTAAATAATATTCTAGAATATTTGAATAATAAGAAATTGCCACCGAAATCAGGTAGAGAAAACTAACCTGAAAATTACTCAAGTTTGTAACCGTCGAATGTGTAAACGGTCTCAACTAAAAATATAAATTCGCAAAGACAAATACGCCTATCAGTTTTGTATAGGGCTCTGTGATAAGCAGTCCCTAAACATTTTGATACACAGTACCAAATAATCATGAAGATGTTCTTATTTAGCTCCGTACTTCTTCTTTCGGTGAGATTTTTTCTTTTAATTATTTAAAAAATGTACTTTATTAGTGTTATTATTAAGGGATATCTGCGATTAAAACAACCCACGCGATGCATAGGCTCATTTGTAATATACTTATACCTTACATAATTATATTTTATTACATTAAGTATGTTTTTTCTTTTATTTTGATGCAAGTGTCATTTTTGAAAATTTGTGAAAAAATACAAAGTTTGATTTTGTCACAAATAATTACACTTGCATCAATAAAAAAAAATTTTCTTTGCAGGTTGTTTTAATCATCCGTGGTTCAAGTAAGTAGTGACTTAATCAAAATTTTGAATGTTTGTTATTTTTAAGTTTATTCGTTTTCAGGATTTTTACTACTGTGTTTTCAATTACTCTTTGTATTAATAATTATAACAAACTAGTAGACTAATTTCACAGAAAATAATTTAACATAATTGTAATAAAGCATCGTGATAATTGATACGACTTTATTCGAACCAGGGTCAGCGCCTTCAGCACACCGTGTCTGACGCTCTCCCAACTGAGCTATAATATGAACCAGCAGTCCTAACGGATTTTTATCTGTGCTTGGTGCAGACCTTTGTTTTTGGTTTTTAACGACTTGTATTACCGTAGCGCCATCTGTGAGAAATGTATGCAAGTTTTTCTTTATTCATCCAGTTACTGCTACCAGCGACTGACTAGAGATGTCTCTTTAATAATTGTAATTTGACTTTATTGAATATCACAATGTTTTATTATCAAGATTATTCAATTATTTTTTGTGGACGTACGGAAGGACGTATGAACGGACGGACGAATGGACGGATGGACGGATGGACGGATGGACGGATGGACGGATGGACGGATGGACGGATGGACGGATGGACGGATGGACGGATGGACGGATGGACGGATGGACGGATGGACGGATAAATAGATGGATAAATAGGAAGACAAATGAATACATAAATAAATAAATAGACAAATAAATGCATATTTTTTTTATAATATCTAGTGACGAGACGAACAAGTCCGTAGTTTAATTTATTTTCATTTCGGACGCATGCGTCCGTCACTCACTCAGCTACGGCCCATTGAAAACCAGCGTCACAGCCTAGACTTGGTTGTGACTTTAGTTTTTGTACACGCCACAGCCGCACATATGACAGCATAGAAATATGTTTTACGCTGTTTTGTTTTTTGTGTTATTTCTGTTGTATTTATATTAGCCTTTTTTTGTGTGTGTCATTTTTATAATGTGGCGTTGGAATAAACGGTTTCTATTTTTATTTATATTTCTATAAATAAATAGATAAATTGTGTTTCAAAATTGCTCAAGTAACGTTTTTATTTCTTTTTAGCTACTGCAGACGTTTGTAGTTTGCCTCCGGAAACTGGGCCATGTAAAGGCGCCATTCCCAGGTCAGTTTGTTTTCTTTTGTTTATATTGTGTTGGATCCCTTTACTTAGGTATTTGTGGCTACTACATATCATCAGTTGTCGTCTGAAACACATACAGAAAAAAAAATAAAAAGACGTACGAGAATAATTGACATAGGTGAATAATTTAATTAAGTTTGATTACCTAATTATCCAACCAGTATTTACAAAAGGATTCTAATGGGTTCGGTATTGGCGTTAAAAAATACAAAACTCGAGTTCTAGTGCAGGTAGACGTGTAAATTGTCACTGTTTAAAAACAACGTTATTTTTCCAAGGATACTGATAGCAAGAAAGAATGACGTAGATTAGTTATCATCTCAAATATATAATGAATATGAATTAAGAAAAGTAATGACATAGGAGAAAAAGTTTATTAACATTGTTTACTTTATTATCTAAACATTTTTTAAATTCTAATAAATTTGTTTTCTTTACCTTTTTTTAGATATCATTGGGACACATACACACAAAAATGTCTGATATTCACTTACGGAGGATGCGGCGGCAATGAAAACAATTTCGTAACTGAAGACGCATGTCGTGCAAAGTGCAACACTTGTTAGTTCTTATTGACCGTATTAGTACACTATAATAGTGCCCAAATAACCCGAAAAGCGCTATCTCAATCGGAGTGTTTTGAGAAAAACGACCTTTTCTAAATTGTATTTCCGTACCTTCAAAAATAATTTTTTTTGAAGATGGTAAAACTTATTTATGCGTATTTTTGACTAACAGATTTATTGATATACCTAAATTATCCATAAATTGTACCATTATACCTGTTTTGTGAGATACCGCTATTTTGATTATAAAGAAAGCCGCCAAATCTATTAGTAATTTTAGCTACTTGGAATGGACCTGTCGCCCAATCTGAACTTCGGTAGATACATTGAATCCATGGCCAAAAATACAGGCAGGAAACTTGGCATCTTTTCCAAGGTGAGGCGTTACTTCACACCGGGACACTGGCTTTAGCTGTATCAAGCACAAGTCCGGTCATGTATGGAGTACTGCTGCCACTTATGGGATGGCTCTGCTAAATATGAACTGACCACCTTGGATTCAATAGGCAAGCGTGCTAAGAGGCTTATAGGTGACTCGGAATTAGTAGAAGCGAAGCTGCAGAGCCTTGAACACCGCCGTAGAGTTGCCAGCTTATTGCTACTCTACAGGATGTATCACGGAGAGTGTGCGATGGAATTGCATAATTTGATTCCGCCTGCCCCTTTCCATCATCGGGGGACTAGACGTGGGCTGGGATTCCACCCCTATGTTGTGGCTATTCCCAGGATTCGCACGAATCACGGCTAGTGAGTGGAATTCCCTGCCTGCAGACATGTTCCCCGAACACTATAACTTAGACCTTGTTGTCACTTTCCATCAGGTGAGATAGAGATCAAATGCGCATTTACTTTTTATAATAAAAAGTAATGTTTTCTTTGTAAAATTAAAAATAAGGTATTAATTAATAACTATTGTAACTATAGTGGAAAATAGGGTGGTTTGCATTAATATTAAACATAACTGGTTGAAGACTGTACCACCTCAGTCAACCGTGACCATGGGACCTGTAAAGGGCCCGAAACGTCGGTTTGTTTGAAAAAACAAATATACGCGATTTAAATCCGGAAAAATAGTTTCATTTCCTAAAAAAAAGTAATTTATGGAAAAATTAGATATAAAAATACTTCTTAGTGGTTTTTTAAATGTTTTAAGTTAGATAGCGCTATTACCATTATACCATTAGATGCACAATTATTATAGGTATTGAATGGTATAAAAAAAATAAAAGACACCCTGTCTCATCTCAGAGATAGCGCTTTTCGGCTTAGCAGGGCAGAGTTTTGTTTGTATTCGAGACACAGGAACTAGATGACGCAACTACATCGCAACCATAGATTTAGTATATAGGTACCCATAGATTGGCAATGCAAGTGAAAGAGAGTTAGTATACACGTATGTTAGAACGAGATGGGTAGACGAGACCACTTCATTATAAGCTATGAGGCTATATGAACCTAGGGTCAGCTGACAACGAAACAAATTTCGTTTATTTTTGAAAAATAATTGGTTTTAAAATGTGAAATAGTGTTAAACGGACGTTTATTAGTCATTGTAAAGTTTTCAGTGTCCGGATGTAACTTATCTAAAAAGGAAAACTCGCAGAATTGTACATTTCACATGTAAGTACTATTTAAATTTTTAGCTGTCTAAAAGCACTACCACAAAAGTTTTTTACTTAAATATATCCGCAAAATTATACCATTCAAGTGCATTAATAACCCAAATGTATACGAATTCAATTAAAAAATATATCAAATACGTGAATTTCTGAAATTCATAACCCCACTTTCATAGAGATTGACGCAATCGATAATATGTTTTTTTTTTTTTTTTTAAATTTATTAAGGCTGTGGCAAAGCCATCAGCCTAAACATGAAGTTTAATTATGTTTCTGTAAATATGGCCGCCACAAAGAGGATAGGCAATTTGAGGCGGCGTGCTTGGATTGACTCGGGGTTTCTTAAAACGGGCCGATAACTGTATTTTAGTTCGAGATTCGTATAATTTCGCGTTTTAATCTTCGATTAAGGCACAATAGCACTATCCTATTCCACTTTAAACTAGATTTCACAAAATAATTGAAAGTCAAAATAAAAACGACACTTTTCCCTCCAAAAGGTCCAGAGCGAATGCGATAATATGTTATCGAGATGTCATTAACTGAAAAAAAAAGGCAAAGGCGTGACTTGCATACTGCCGAAATCATCTTCATACTTAATTTTTTTTTATTTATTGAATCAGAAATTTCTGGATTTAGTACTTTATATTTAATTAATATTGCATTAGTACATTATATTTTGTTTACATTAAAACGAAAATTTCTTTTAATAGCATAGTTGAGGCACCCATTTTTTATGTTAATTATTGTTGTTGATTCAGATTTCCTCAAATCATTGAAGTACGACAGAAATGGCTTTTAATGCCAAAGAGAGAAGACGGGGTTTCCAAAAAGTTTTCAAAAATATGCGGCAAATAAACACTTTGAGGAAAAATGCTTTTAAATAAAATGCCTTTAGAGGCAAGCAAAGAGTAAAGCTACGTTCTGGTTCTAAACCCACATTATTCATGCGGTATGTCTTACAATTAATTGATTTTTGTGCAGCACTACTCTCATCAACAACAAATCAGCGATTTATTGTTGTTAGAGTTCTGTTCTGTTCTGAAATATGATGCTGATTTTTTCAAATTTGGTACACATATGCATTTGTGTGACCAAAACGTAAATAAATTAATTCTAAATTTTTAAGTCACATTTTTTGTAATTTTGAAATATAAATATTTTTAAGTTGTTTAAGAAAATAGACAAAAATTGATCATTCTACCCTTTATCTTCGAAACTACAAAGCCTAAAGTTTTGAAAAAATACAGAAATTATCTTTAAATTTCCCACTATTGTGCGAATAAACCTGTATTTGCTGTTGGAATCTATTGGAGAACATATTCTTCAACTACAATGTTAAGTTTGCACCGAAACCTCTCCGCGCGAGTTCAACTCGCACTTGGCCGGTTTTTTGGTTCTATTACTTATCTGTAAATTCACTGCTGTGATGCACTTCTATGTTATCATATCATACAATAATTATAATAGTTATATTTGTTTGTAGGTTGCGGTCGTCAGCTTTCGTTCGTGGCCTCCATACTATCGCGCCGTAACTGATCATGGGTCTTATCACCATTTTGTAGAGCCATAGTGTTATCTTGGGTGAAAGTCCCCATTGTTTACCTACCATCCTATGGCACTACCAGTAGGTGATAGTAGCTTTCTTAATTTTCTATTGAATCATTAATTAACTAGTTAATTAACGTCTCGGTATTTTGCGTTAAGACATTTTGGTGAATACAACGAATGAAATGCCGGTGTAATATGTTAATCGATATTTAAGTTAAATCAGTGGATGGCGCAACACTATTTATCTTGCACACATGCACATTATACGCACACAGATGTATTTTTGTTTTGGTCTCGTCTCCAATACGTCAGGGCCAATCTATGGATATACTAAATCTATGATCGCAACTATGACATTTTAGAGAAATACTTCGAGTTTTAGCACTATTAAACTTTCTTAACATTTAAGAAGTATAGCGTGACCTATATACATCTTAAATGTTGAGGAAGTTTGATTCTTTTCGCTGGGGTGGTTATGTAGGGTGTGGTTTTAAGTTCTAAGCATATATTAGCTGGCGACTGAAAGAACAATTTTACTTACTAAGTATGGTCTTAAAATGTATGTAGTGGGTTCAAGTCCCATCGGGTCGAAAAAGTTTTTATATGTGTTCGATTTTTGTATCATAATTTTTATTTCTTTTTTAGATCCCGAGGCTTGTACATTGAGGCCAGCTATAGGTGATTGTCATAGCCATCTTATCAGGTGAGTTTTTTAATTTTTATTGAATTGATATTCAATTGTTTTTTATGTGAAATTACTCCACTAGTTTCATTGACTTACAATTATATGGACGTCGGGTCCGCGCTAAAAAGTGTCCGCACTTGTAAGGCGCTAAAATCGTATACAGAGCGCGGCACTCCGCTTTAGTCTTCATTTGTTCTACTGACAGCGCGATACTGCGATGACATTACAATTTAAATTTCGAATAGGTTGACTTGGGACATTTTTTTCGTGGTTTTTGTATTAGACCCGTCGTCCATTTATTTGTAAGTCAATGACTAGTTTGTTATAATTATTAATACAAAGATCGAACACTCAGAAAAAAATCCTTCGATGCAGCCGGATTCGAACCGACGTCTTCTAGCAATTTTTCTGTGTGTTTGTTGTCGTGTCTTTGCATTTGGTTTTTCAACGACTTTTTAGCCGTAGCGCCATCTATGAGAAATCTTAAGTATTTCGTCACCCAGTTAGATACCTTTACAGCTACCAGCCCTGGTTACAGGTTAGTTTTTCTTTGTATTTAGTGCAATCTCTACTATCTATCGAGTTCTTAGGTTTTCGCGATTGTTACACATAGGTCGGTACAGTCAACCGTGACCATGGGACCTGTAAAGGGCGCGAAACGTCGGTTTGTTCGAAAAAACAAATATACGCGATTTTATCCGGAAAAATAGTTTCATTTCCTATCCTCTAACATCAATTTTATTCTGTTTGGATAGTACTAACAAAAAATCGACTGTGTTTCTGAACAGCTCGTTGTGTTTCGAATGACATAGTCTTTTGCGTATGAAGTCTTTGAATAGATTTTCAAAGAAGGATGGCGAAAACTAAAATCAATAAATTAATAAAGAATAATTAAAATCAACGAAGACTTTGCTAGTATGATTTTACGTTTTAGTTTATGCCTAGTTATCAATATAATTTTGTATATTGTTAGAAGTCGGGAATAAAGAAATTGTAATACAATGTGTTTTAGAATAAATGCAAGAACACAACGCAATTGACTCAGTTCGACCATAGATTAGGTAACGTTCTTGTACGTACGTTTCGTTTTAAGCATGATTGAATATTTACCTACCTACAGTATTGCTTATTTTATAGCACGCACATAAAGCATTAAAGCTATGAAATACCTAATCAAATAATCAATTAAACAGTATTGACATAAAATAAAAAATAAAAGGCAATGTGACAAAAATGTTTAGACAATACTTAAATGAGAGATAAAAAAGTTGGTAAAGGAACGTTTTGACATGAGCCTTTTGCCAATGTAAATGTCACATTAAAATTGAAAAGAATGTGACCATTTGTCGCAGATTTTTACTCTTTGGGCAGATTTAATTTTTATTCATTGTATTGAATGTGGCAGTTTAGTCGGTTTGGGAATATTCAGGTACAAGATCTTTATTATTTTTGGGAAGAAACTGAAAACTTATTGTTTTCTGCGAACAAACATTATAAAGTGAAATACAGGACAATGTTATAAACATAATCCATGTCAACTTTATAACTCCACTTCTACAGGCTGAACTCAATTAGCTTTTTTGATGCTATGATAATGAATCACAAGTATTGATAGCTCTCTTTAATGCGCGTCGTCAAAACACTGGGTCACAAAATGCACGGGATGTCGCCACCCTTCTTTGAGCTTTTAGTACGAGTAACTAGTATATTCCAAAAATATTCTGTATTTATTGTAATAAAGACGTCTTTACCAATGGGGGATGTTCCATTCGGTGGTATGAAAAAAAAACCGCAAAACATCTAATTACAAAACAAACGGAATCATATTTCATCGGTAATTAAATATTAAATATGTAATTTTCAACTTTCGGCCATTATAGCAAAGCTCAAGTTAAACTGGTCGTTTTGAAGTGAAACAATTGACGACACCCGTCAATTGTTTCGAATTCGGGCTGGACAATGGGAGCGCAGTTATCACAGTAATGATTTGGCAGAATGGTTTTCAAAGAAATTAAATGACATTTCGTATCTATTTCTGGTTATATACTCGATGGTGCTTAGCAAGCTAAAAAGAGATTTTAAGAGAAAACGATAAAAACAAAAATAAAGGCAAATAAACAGAAACCAGTGTAATAATCGCCAGTCACGTGATTATCAAAGTGACGTTTGTTAATTAAAATGGTATATGTATAAAATGTATGTAAAATGTTACGTATTTTGGCTATAATTACCAGAATAGACCAGCATAGTAACCGTTCGGCCACGGAGAAAGTTAAAGGTTTTAATTAGTTAACATCAATTATACGATTAGAAGAGAAAAATTTAAAAAAAAGAAAATATATCCTATTGCCGTACCTATGCTAAAACTAGTTTCAAAATTATTCTAATGGGTTTGTTTTCATTGATCGTTTTCAGATACTTCTATAATCAAACATTGCGCGCTTGTCAGAAGTTCTCTTACACAGGATGCGGCGGCAACGCGAACAATTTCAATGATAATACCACATGCGAAGAAACTTGCTACACTTGTAAGTTTATATGTAAAATATTTTATGTTTTATACTTACAACTAACAAAAAGACTATTATCATGCCGAAGCACAGAGATCAGATATGACCATATCAAATTTGTTAGTTTTATACGAATCAAGTGTTTTTTAGAGTGTATACGTTATGAACCTGCTTAATTTTTTTCGCGAAAGCTCGCCCTTTACATTCAAACCACCTCTATATATTCCCGGAATGGCGAGTAGAGTTGATTCTAACAATCCGGACACGATCCGACACCAAAGCGCACGGATTTTAATCGATTTAAAACCCATTAAAACCCGAAACCGAGGACAACAAAATTTTTGTAAATCGAGATTTTTCAAGTGCTTGCTTACATATTTTGCCTTTTCTTTTTATTCTCCTGAAAATCGCATAGAAATGAATCGATACAAAAGCTCATTATCGTATACGCTTGAATCTATTTTCATAAAAAAACTGATGGTAGGCGAAGGTTCCACCATACAGCCACTTCATATATTTAGACGAAAGTCAAACAAACGCTATAACATAAAAAACCAAAGAGATAGGATAGAACTGGCCAAAAACCGGATATATTTTAACGAATTATTTTTTTAAAAGATTTATGGTCCGGTTGCAAGACTTTTAGGTCAATTTAACCAACCAGAAGGCAGTACAGCGTTTGTGTAGTATCCTAGTTGATTTTTTTTTTAATTAGCAAAAATACGACGTTCTTTTTTTGAAATTCATTATACATAGTTCATACAGTAATTTTATGAAATTTATCTACACACATATCTTAAACCCTTTATGATGTGTTTAAAAACCGCAAACATCGAGTATATAACCAGAAATAGAGACGAAATAAGGGCCATTTATTCCTGGTAACACATTAGCGATACAGCTATAAATATCAACTCCCCTTTGCACTGAAATATAGACAGGCCAACTACTGACCTGTGCGTACGTCTCCTTATATTCCAAAAAATATTCTGTATTTATTGTAATAAAGATAATATCTCTAACAATGCCGTGCTGTTCCACAGTGAATGAAAAAAAGATATGAAACAGTTGACGACACCCATTGACGACATCCGTCAATTGTTTCGAACTCGGGCTAGCCAGTCGGAGGGCAGTTGTCACAGTAATGATATGGCAGAATAGTTTTCAAACAAATTAAATGACATTTCTTCTCTATTTCTGATTATATACTCGATGACCGCAAATTACGACCAGCATGTAGATAAACTGTTTTGTTAGAACAAATTTCTTATCTGTCAAAATGTCTGTATTGTTTACAAATTCGATGTTATTATTACATTCAAATTTCGAACATCTCTGAAAAACAAAACAATTTGATTGGACCTCAATTCTAACATCAATCGAGATGAAGTTTTATTCGAAATGAAATGTGAATAGCAAATAATTTTGACAAAATGCACACGTTACTTGATGTCGAACGAAATGATAGTTGGGGCCGACTCTAGTTTGTGAATGAATTAAAAAAACCTACGGTTGCGTGACATGCGTGAGAAAAGTTTTTATTTGCTGCCATTTCGCCAGTCGTAACATGCGGTTCCTGTACACATCACATAGAGCTTATAATATGTGTGTAGATAAAGCTCTGTATGTAACTGTACATAATTAGGCATTAAAACACTCGTGAGATATTTCATAAACCCACACTCGTATTTCAATGCCTTTCACTATGTAACAGTCACATAAACTACTATTTTCAGATTAGTGGCGAGTACCATAGACAATAGAATTTTGATTCAGAACTGAAAAGAGCGGCTTTAGGATATTGTGTATGAAATTACGTTTGTATTAAACATGTAAGGGTGCTAGTGACAAACAGGCACATTGGACTTGTGAACTTATGTTTCAGGGTGACGGGCGCAGTGGCAGTGCCCCACAGATCTTTGCGATTTAAAGCTCTGAGTGGTGCTGTGGGCAAGCGTCTAGCTTACCATCAGGCGCACGACTTGTTCGTCCCGTCGCTTGATAATAAAAAAATACAATTGACAGATTAAACCCACCTAAGACATAAGTTGACAAATCCCAGGTGCCTGTACTTTCATCAGCACCCTTCAAAACAGCAGGCTGTTTTTAAGTCAAATTAGAATCGACCCGATCGGGTAGCCTATCCGAATCTTGAAATCAGATGGGTTTCTGAGCGAGAAGATGAACCTCATTCCTACTATATCTTTCTAATTTGTGAGTTAAATTAACTATTGTTCCGATTAGAAATGTCAAAAATTTCCAATCGGCCAGTTATGAATCGCAATTATGCGCCTCGACTCAGAACAGATGCAGTTTCCGATCAAGAGAGGCAATCAAAATCAAGCTGTTAGATCACAGTGATGCTCACACTACATGTTTGGCAAGCTCCCATATCTTTTTACGTTAGTTTTGATTATAGTGACCCTCCCTACCTACCCTTAGGACATACGAGGAGGGCATTATATCCTGTGCGTGCACAGGAACCTTATAAATTCAGGTTCTGACCCCAGATCAGCCAGTGTACAGGGTTGTCACAGACCTCTGTCACTTGATTTCATCCGGTTCTTCGAGAGGCTAGTGTCTCGGGTGAGCCGCCCCGGGTGCACGTACAGTACCCTCCCTATTTTCCAAATAAGTACTGGAGCTGTAGGCATGCTCACTTCCCGTTGCGCATTGCACAACTAGCGGTTGCCACCGCTTAGCCGTCGACATTGAGTCCACTACCAAATTTCCTCATTGGTGGCGGAGCTATAAGGTACGCTCACCTCCCGACGCCGAAAAACTACGTCTCCAGTTCTCAATAACCTTAGCGACTGGAGGGACCGGAGGATATCTAGCTTATCCTCTACTAGCTCTCCGGGCTAGTGCCAGAGATGCCAGTCGCAGTGTCCTGCGACAATGTCCGGACATAGCTTCCAACTTAAAGGGCAACTCACGTGCCCCGCGCGTCTCCTCGTTTCAGGCCCTCAACTAGACCAGTATTAAGACGCGCTAGCTGCTCACGAGACAGATGCCTCGGAAACATGCCATACCGGGGCAGACAAACATGTCCGTCTCTGCAGCTAATCACAAACCCCAGCGAGTCCATATTCAAGTTTGGATCCGCCAGAGGGCGTCTCTGCAAAGGCATATCACTGGCGGAGGGCTTGGTCCGGACGCCTGCTGTGCCCTGGTCTTGCCATCGAGCTCGTAGTCTCTCCGGAAAACTCTATCTCTCGGGTTGGTAGATAGGGACATATATGTACATAGATAGTACATGCTTGGCAGTAGAAATAAGTAAGATGGCAGTACTTCCCTGAACGAACTCTTTCACAAGGAGCTCTACTACTAATAAGAGCATTTGTGCACTACGACCGTTTCGTATCTGGGGTCTACTCTCGATCTCCGTCCGACATCCGTCCGAAACAATTACTGCCAAATAAACAATACTTGACCAAATGAAAAGACGCATGATGCGAATGAAGCTTCATACTGGATACTTGTCTTTTAATTTTGTTGAATATTACTTATTTGACAGTAATTATTTCGGACGGATGTCGGACGGAGATCGAGAGTAGACCCCCTGTTCCGAGTCCGAGAAATGACTGTCGGAATGTCACAGGGATCATTTCATCTCTAGGTGTACAAGCGATATTCGTGGTTTCTCGGATTCCAATCGGACTTAGTGCACAAGCGACATCCGAAGCGGATCTGCGTTTTCTAGATTTATATAGTCTCAGATTGGGAAAACGAATAAAAATTAGATGCGGAGCGTAAACGCTCTTTTCTCACAATCTGTTTTGAGCAATACATTTTTGTTTCGTTTTAGATCCAAAGTTATGCTCTTTGAAAGCAGAACCAGGGCCTTGTACAGGTGACTTTAAAAGGTTAGTTTTTTATCATAACAATATTATGAATGTTGGAAGCCTTTATGATTTTGAAAGTATGTATAGAATTTAACGAGAAGCTGACAAACCACACAGTCGCGTGTATGTATCGCGCATTTTGATAAGAGATAGTTTTAATTTTAGTTTTGTCTGTTAATTTCAGTTAGTTTTTGAAATGAAGCAACATGGAAATCTATGGGCGTCGTAAACACCCGTTTGTGAAACGCGTGTCGTTACCGTGTATAAAATACGCCGTGTGTGTAGGCTCTTATATTTCTATATTGTGTCAATCAAATGTCATTGAGAATGACCTTATTATGCTCGAAATACGAATTGAATAGACAGAATTTAATTTATTTATTAGCTATTTCAAAAAACAAAACACACGTGCACACCGGTTTTCATGGTTTCGCCATCTCCGAGGTCCTAAGTTCGAACCCCGAATTGTCTCGGGTACTGGTGTTATTTCCGATTTTCATAACACAAATACTTTAGTTACTTACTTTAGGATCAGAGCAACGTACGTATGTTATTTATTATTATAATAATAAAAAAATAATGTCTAATATATTTATTTCAGATACTTTTGGAACAACGACGAGAAAGAATGTCAGGAATTCAGTTACGGAGGATGCCAAGGCAACGAGAACAATTTTAAAACAATTAAAGCATGCAACAACGCGTGCAACACCTGTTAGTTTGTCTTTTACGTTATAATTTTATACTATGAAATATAGCAGGAATTATTTGATATTTTCGAATCCACGAGAGCGCTTATCTTTTAAACAATGACATTGTAATCATTATTAAGCCCAACCGCATATACCTACATAATATTATTATGAAATAAACAAAAAAAAAAATTCAAATAGCCACTTCATTGTCAACGCAAGAAGGTTCAATTTGCAATGGTTGTTCATGTTTAAATTACCACGTTTTAAATTTAAAATAACAAAGCTGTAATAATGCCGTGCAATATATCGATACTTGTTATGAATAATGATTTTGCGACTTGTATTTTTACAAGGGTCTCATGATTTATTAACCAATCGTGTCCCCGACGTAAATTACAGCGATGAAAAATAGTCTGACATAATATCAAGTAAACTTATATATTGCAGGAACCCAAAAATATACCAGGGTCGCGTGAGTCGTTATTTATTTTTAACCTACTTCAAAAAAGGAGGATGTTCTCAATTCGACTGTATGTTTTTTTTTTGTATATGTGTTACGCGATAACTCCGGTATTTGTGAACCAATTTTTATGATTCTTTTTCTGTTGGAAAGTGGGTACTTCCATAGTGGTCCCATTTAATTTGAAGAAAATCATCCACCTTTAAGGGTATTCACGCATAAAGATTCATTTTTATAAATAGCGCAACTTTAATTTAGGAGCAATTATTTTAATGGTTGATTTTGCTATTTCTCCAATTCAAGGCGTTTTTCTCTCAATATACTTTGAGTTGTGAGAACCGATCATTATTATCTCCAGTGTCAAGTCCTGTATAGTGGCGAATTTAAGGATATTTCAATAAAACTTAGCAAATGGACGTAATTCCACGTACTTTTGAGGTCGGTTTTTTTTATTACTCTGTAATGAGATTATAATAATGTTTTTGCAAGTAAACTTCCAAATAAAATAAAGTACGAAGCACCAACATGTTGCACGCCAGTTTGCGTGTGACTTAATAATGAATACAATGTCATTGTTTAAAAGTTAACTAGCAAAAGTACAATAATAATAATAATAATAATAATAGTGATAGTGATAGTAATAGTGAAAGTGATAGTGATAGTGATAGTGATAGTGATAGTGATAGTGATAGTGGTAGTGGTAGTGGTAGTGGTAGTGGTAGTGGTAGTGGTAGTG